AAAATCATCAATTCAATTGTGTGTTTGTAATATCAGTTAGTGAGTGAGAGAGTTTGGGTGTAATTGGGTTTTGGGTGTGATCCACTTTGCATTGTATCTCTTTATTTTCATAGTAAAATATTGTTCTGTCTTTTCCCTGTTAGGCATAACCGAACCACATAAATTATTATCTCATTTGTGTGTGTGTTATTTGTTTTTTTTTTTTTTGTCATTATTTTTCTCTTGTTCTCATAAACTCTTATTCGATACTTATTTCATAACAATTTTTGTAAAGAAGAAGATATAATTATCTGTTATAGAACTTTCGACAAAAATTGACTCACATAAAAATTTGAAGTGGTTATACTACAATTTCAATTCAAACACAATTTTTTTTTTTTTTACTATCCTAAAATCCTTCCAACTCAAGCACGATTATGAATTCCATCTCATACATACATGATTATTTCCATCTCTCTTTTTTTCTCTATTTAGAATAATAGAAAAATAAACTATTTCCATATTTATTTTTTTTTCGTTTTCACAAACTGTGTTTGCATATCTCTGGGATGTATTGGAATGCTTCTATACGAACTCTATAAGAAATTAATTTCTACAAATCTAAAACAAAACTTTCATTTGAAGTTTTAAATATCAACAAAAATTGATGATTGAAGAACCTAAATTTTTATTATATTGATTTGTTTATGGTTTCTTTCATAATTATTGTTTTGTTAAATTTTCAATTGTTACTTTCTTTAGAGTTATTTTTGTTGTTTTTATCTTTTCGGTAAGTAAAGAGAGTTATTTTTGTGCCCCCAGGGGTATAGCTGCGTTGAATGGTGTGTGTTGTGGGGCCGATACATATGCTCAAAAAAAAAAAATGTTATTTTTGTTAATTTATATTTTTGGAGAGTATCTGTTTTGGAAGCAATCTTATATTTTGGTTTTAGAGGCTCCTATCGTGGAAATCATGGACTTATCATGTGCCTTAAAAAGTTGACGCATGGAGGCATAGTTGATCTTTGCTTAAAACTAATTAAGGTGGTATTTGTCTATTCTTCAAAATAACCTATTTTGTTTTTAGAATATTAATCAACCCCCTCAAAATAAACCAACTTGGTGAAAACAAATTAAAAAAAATTATAGGATTTTCAATAGTGAAGAACAATGTGTGATTCATGAGTGTATTTGTGTGGATCTATTGGTTCTTATTCAAATTAGATTTATACATATGAGTTTTGATGCACGGCCTTACCAAGGTATATACGTCTATAAATATAGTGGTTAGTGGAGAGGTTCAGATGGTAGGGGTGATAACTATCGTCAGAGGATGGAGGTGGAAGAGGTGGAGATGGCCAGGGTTAGAGAGTGGGGGTATAAGAGGTGGAGAAAATAGAGTGATATAGATATGGAAGGAGAGAGAGAGAGAATAAAGAGAATAAATATAATAATGGTAAGTTTTTTTTTTTTTTTTTTTTTCCAAAAGTTATAATAAGAGTGAGTTAACGTGCCTTAAAATGCTATAGTTTTGAGACACGACCTCCTCAACAAGAGGGGATCCAAGCCCTTAATTTTAAATGATCTACTTTTACTCTGTCACGTTGAACTTGGTGAAGTATCGATTTTATATTTATCAGGCCAAATAGCACAACTCTTTTGTAAGCTATGTGATTATATTATTACACATTTTTATTTATTTTTGGTAGATCATACATGCTTGTGTCTGTATATATTTATATAGAGAGAGAAAGAGAGATTGGTTATCCGCTAGGACTAAGTAATATGTTTTTTTTTTTTGGCGATATGTTTGTGTGTGTACATGCTTTTGGTCGATACATGCTTGATATTACTGCAATTTGGCCTATATGAAAAGAAAGGAATTTAAGGCTGCATGACAACTGCAAGGCCGCCATTGTTTAGGAGAAATATTGTATTGCTCAGAGTTCACGAATTGATAAAATATTGATTAAATATTGACATGTATTGCGATTGAGTTCATTAAAGTAAAATATTTTTATTTATATAATAAGAAATAATTAGCTGATGACATAATATAATCGACGGTCAATTATCTTTGAAATTTTAAATGTTGCTGCCATCTCTTCATTTCTATTTGTATATCATTTTGGATGGTATTTTTTTGTTTAATTTGACTTTGTAATCTCAGAAAATGCCAATACTCCTATAATATTGAGAATTGATGGTAATATTGAAAGCTAGAAGATTATTCTTGAAATTGTCCTTTAATTCTAGCACGACCTATTAAGAGTTGGTAAACAAACTTATCTTTTCTCTTTGTCCTGTAACATTTTGGATGACCATACACTAGTTTGTTTAATAAATCACATTCAACAGTGACATTACAACACTTTCTGCTGATATATAGTCCATAAATCTTTTAATTAAGAAATAAAATAAATTAATTAATCCGAGTTTGCTGATCCACCAAAGTCCTTAGTTCTTGGTAACTATGGTATCTTATCTGTCACTTTTTGGATGCAACTAGTGTAGGCGTGTACAGGGGCGGAGGCAGCATGAGCCAAGGGGGGCAGTTGCCCTCCTGCCCATGCTGCCCCACTAAAGTTTTTTTTATAATTTTTATACATAAATTTGTAAAAATTGATAAAATGTCCCCCTAAAATTAATAAAATGATCCCCTAAATTCACAATATTTTATTTTATTTTATGCGTATAATTTGTAAATATTTATAAAACACTTCTATAAAATTTATAAATTATCCCCCATAAAATTATCTATTTCTAAAAGCGTCTTTAATTATTTATTCATTTTCTTTCTTATTCTTCATATTTCTTTTAATCTTTAAAAACTTTTGCGTTCTCTTTCTACAATTAAAACATATTTTTCCCTTCAAACTTCTCTCATATTGTTTTCTTTTTATATTATTTTCTTCTTAAAAAATTCATTTTTCTTCTTAAAAATTTCTTTTTTCTTACACTCATGCATAATTTATGTGCAATAATCTCTAATGCACTGTTATTACACTATTATATTTTCGGCCTGTTTGAAAATATATATATTTTGTCACTATTAACATACCCCCTAAACCAAATTCTTGACTCCACCCCTAGGTGTGTGTATATATATATATATATATATATGATCCAAAAACTTGGAGGGACAACGGATAAACTCATGAAATATGTGTAATCCCCCGTTTTACCCTTTTGGGATTTTCATGATTGGTTAAATGAAGTGAAGATGATATTGATGAAGACATATATGTTATTATAGTTAGATATATATATATACAAAATTCTTGTGGGAAAACTATATTAGTTGTCGTAATTCTTTTTTCACAAGTTGTTGTCAGAATTCTTCCTAATGAAAATGCTGCACTATTATTATTATTATCCTCGCCTTTTAATCAATTAAATTTCTTTTCTGTTTTTTTCTCCATCTAATCAACTAATTAGTTAGGTTTATAGTTGAGTACAAGTTGCGCACTTATACCATTATCTTGTTTGATGATTTTATTCAGCGTTTATTAAAGAAATGATAAGCAATTTTTTAAAATAAACTCGTTTAGTAAAGATTTATGATACCGTTTAAACATAAAACCTTCAAAGGCAGCAATGATGACGAGATTCGATTTTGTTATAGGTTCAACCCTGGTGATGAAATTGCATTTAACCGAGAGAGATCAAAAATGAAAAAATGCAGCCAATTCGGAAAACCTTTTTGCCTTTCCCACAAGGCATGTTAAAATGAAGTGTCCCTCATTTGAAGCATTAATCAAACACATATACTGATGTATATGGTAAAATATATATATGTGTGTGTATATTTATATATCAGATAATAAGAGGCTCACCCATATATACTGATCACAGTATTTGAGGCTGCCAAGCGAATAATTTTTGGGGGGGGCGGGGGGAAACAAAACGAAAGAAGGGCCCTACCGGGTTCGAACCGGTGACCTCTTGATCTGCAGTCAAATGCTCTACCACTGAGCTAAGGACCCCGATGTTGCTTTGTATTTTGGGCTGTCCAGAGATAGATATGGGCTTCGGTTTAGATCACATCTTCTCTTGTTGGCAAGGCATTCTTAAATCAGTACTGTCTTTCTCTCTCTCACACACACACACACTCTGGGCTGGTTTGGAAACCGTGTTCGTTTTTTATTTCTGTTTTCATCCGAAACAGAATAACATTTTTGTTATGAAGTGTGTTCAATAGTGATTGAAAGCATGTCTGGTAACATAAAATTTGTTGCAAGATTTTTGAATGCAAAAACATGTTTTGAAAATATGTTTGGTAAAAAATTGTTACAAGATTTAAAACAAAATAGGCAATTAAAAAAAGGTCGTTTGGAGTTTTTTTTTTTTTTTTTTTTTTCCTCTGTACACCGCTAGTGTTTTGTTAAAAACACCAATTTTTTGTATCCAGTTTGGGCCTCTTTCGAAAACAGATGCGATGCTATTCAAATCATAACAAAGTTACAAATGCACTTGTGTGTTTTGCTTCATTATCTGCTAACATTCATGCATTTCTCTGGAGAAAGATGAAGAAAATTAGGAAAACAAAATAAGAGCAATTCTCTAGTACTAGGTGTATGAAAATTTTAAGTCATATAAAGCGAGAGTGGAAGTGAGAGAGAATTTGAAAGTGGGAGCATGAGAGCAGTAAAATTAAATCTCAAATAATGGGAACAGGAGCGAGAGCACGCCGAACATGAGATCAACACCAATTAAAAATGATTGTGTGACTTAGTGAACAATTACTAAGTTGAAAAGAAGAATTTGATTGCAGCTATTCAAAATACATGGCCACAAAAAGATTGTTGCTTTATTTTCATTAATAAGTTCGATGATCGTGTAAACCATTTCAATTTCCAAGGCCCAAGCCCACTAAAAACACAACAGCCACAAGCCCAAATGATCTGCCTCTTGGTGAAGTTGTCAACGTTTGTCCACGTTGTCATACAAACAAAGTTGTGCTTCCATAAAATCAAAAGCCCTCTTTTACCCTTCCATTTTCAAATGTTTCTAGGGTTTCACATACCAACATTGGATTGAGATAAGGTCTTTAAAAAAAAATCAAAACATTTCAAGAACAAAGATAGGAATTTCATCAACCAACCAAACCTCCACACTCTCTCTCTCTCTCCTCTCTGTCTCTGTCTATGGCTGCAACTCCACTCTCCACAGCTCTAGATGTCCACTGTAGCATCCCACACACGGCAGACACAAAGAGACCAATCTTCTTCACCTCTCCACTAAGACTCCCCACCAAGAGATTCACCATTTCATGCACCTCCTCCAAATCTCCATCTCCCCCAAAACCACCACCAGATTTATCAGAGCCTCACCACCAACAAAACCCATCTCTCTCCGACCAACTCAAGCCTCTATCCACCACAATCCTCTCTGATTCACCCAAAAAAGACCAAACCCACCTCCAAGCAAAGCCAAAGTCCACTTGGGTCAACCCCACCAAGCCCAAACCCTCTGTGCTAAGCCTCCAGCGCCACAAGCGCTCTCCATACTCATACAATCCCCAAATCAGAGACCTGAGGCTCTTCGCCAGGAAGCTCAATGACTCCCCCAATTCCGAAGCTGCTTGCATGGCAATTCTTGAAGAAATCCCACACCCACCCACCAGAGAAAATGCCCTATTGGTGCTCAATAGCTTGAGGCCATGGCAAAAGACTCTCCTTTTCTTCAATTGGGTCAAGACCCAAAACTTGTTTCCTATTGAAACCATCTTCTACAATGTGACAATGAAGTCTCTGAGGTTTGGTAGGCAGTTTCAGGTCATGGAAGAGCTTGCAAATGAGATGGTCAGTAATGGGGTTGAGCTTGACAACATCACATACTCCACTATCATAACTTGTGCCAAGAGGTGTAACCTTTTTGACAAGGCTGTGGAGTGGTTTGAGAGGATGTACAGGACAGGGTTGATGCCTGATGAGGTCACATACTCTGCTGTTTTGGATGTGTATGCCAAATTGGGGAAGGTGGAGGAGGTGATGAGCTTGTATGAGAGAGGGAGGGCTAGTGGGTGGAGACCTGACCCCGTTGCCTTTGCTGTCTTGGGGAAGATGTTTGGTGAGGCTGGGGACTATGATGGCATTAGGTATGTGTTGGAGGAAATGAGGTCACTTGGGGTGCAGCCCAATTTGGTTGTGTACAACACATTGTTGGAGGCAATGGGGAAGGCTGGGAAGCCTGGGTTGGCCAGGAGTTTGTTCGAGGAGATGGTGGATTCCGGGATTGATCCGAATGAGAAAACCCTGACCGCGCTTGTCAAGATTTATGGGAGGGCGAGGTGGGCTCGCGATGCATTGGAGCTTTGGCAGCGGATGAGGTCGAATGGGTGGCCTATGGATTTCATTTTGTATAACACATTGTTGAGCATGTGTGCTGATCTAGGGTTGGAGGAGGAGGCTGAGACTCTGTTTGATGATATGAAGGTATCGGAGCATTGTAGGCCTGATACTTGGAGCTACACTGCAATGCTGAACATCTATGGGAGTGGAGGGAATGTGGAGAAGGCAATGGGGTTGTTTGAGAAAATGTCTGAGTTGGGTGTTGAGCTCAATGTCATGGGGTGCACTTGCTTGATTCAATGCTTGGGGAGGGCCATGAGAATTGATGATTTGGTCAAGGTTTTCGAGGTGTCAATTGAAAGAGGTATTAAGCCAGACGATAGGCTGTGTGGGTGCTTGTTGTCTGTTGTGTCCTACTGCAAAATGGATGAGGATTTGAATAAGGTCCTTGCTTGTTTACACCAAGCAAACCCTAAATTGGTTGGCTTCATCAAATTGCTGGAAGAAGAGGAAACTAGCTTCGAGACAGTTAAAGAGGAGTTCAGGGGCATACTTAGCGACGCTGCAGTTGAGGTCCGGAGACCCTTCTGCAATTGCTTGATTGACATATGCAGAAACAGAAATCTCCAAGAGAGAGCTCATGAGCTTCTCTATATAGGGACTGTGTATGGGTTATATCCAGGTTTACATACCAAGACCGAAGATGAGTGGCGGCTGAATGTCCGGTCACTGTCCGTGGGTGCAGCTCACACAGCATTTGAAGAATGGATGGGAACTCTGATTAAAATTGTGGAGCGGCAAGAGGAACTGCCGGAGTTATTTTCAGCCAACACTGGTACAGGAACCCATAAATTCTCTCAAGGATTGGCTAGTGCCTTTGCGTCGCACGTGAACAGACTTGCCGTGCCATTCAGGGAAAGTGAAGAGAAAGCTGGTTTTTTTGTGGCGAATCGACAAGATTTAGTTTCATGGGTGAAATCAAGGGCCCTTGTTACAGCATAAGCGATGAACAAAGTGTAATTATAGAAGCAATTGCTTCGGCGAAAATGTAGAATGTTAGTTCTAGTAATTGAACTAATAATTTCAACCAGTAATATTCACAGCATTTTGCATGTTATCTTGATCTCAAAGTACACTTCAAGTTGTTATTTGAAATTTCCTGGTTTAGTTTGTTTCTTTAGTGATGATTGTCCATAGGTTTGTCTTCATTTTGCGCATAAGCCGGAAAAGAAAAAAAATTTACACAGATCTGATAAGAATTTCCCGCTCTTGTAAGTCTGCAGTGGTGGGAATTCAACTCCAAATTAGACTCTTGCTTCTCTTCTGTAAGGAAATGTAAACCCCCACCAAATTACAAACACATCTTTTTTGCTATAAAAAAGAAAGGAAGAGACATAAATGAATGAAGAAAGCCTTCATCTGTGCAAAATCTTGAATAAAAGAAAGGAACAAAAAAAGGGATCTTTTTTGCCTCTAAGGAGCAATTCCCATCAATTGCACTACAAAATTCCTATTTTTTTCCATCCCGAGACCGATGTTTCGGCATCAACTTGAGTCTTGATGACATGTAGAGTTCCCTCTTTTTACTGTGTTCTTATGATTTGAGGCGAAAGAATTCATATGTACCATGAAAAAAAGGATCAGGATTTGGATCTCCCAAACTCCTTGTAGAATGATTTACTCAGCTCAAGGATACCACCATTTCACTTGTATACAGAAAACTCTTGCTTGTAGAGATATTTCATGTTCTGTGCAGGTTTCAAAGGTATTTTCCTGATGACTTCCATATTCTTCCTTCAAGCGATATCACCATCACAGTAACATCATCATGGTACTTCCGACGATCTCCTTGAGGGATGTCCAGCAATTCATGAAGATCCATTCCTGCAGCCGGAAAAAACAAGGAGAAAAATATAATATAGGTTTAAAGGATGCATACTTGAGAAGGAAACGGTATTTTGTATGCCACAATGGGAAAGATATGAGCAGATTCAATACAATTGCCTCGAAACAACTTGATCAGACTAGTTGTGAAAACCATGAAATGGTATACCTAATTCAGGCAAAAGAGTCTCAGTGTCTCCTCGATAGGAATGCTCGCAGAAGAAGATACCATAGACGTAAAAGCTCTGTTACATGGACTCTTCAAAAGTAGTGAAGTACCCGTGTCAGACACGTATCCCTCGGACATGGATATGGGATATGTGTCTGACACTTTTGGTTAGGACATGTATTTAAAACATATCCAATCATTCAATTGCATTATATTATTACTTTAAAATGAGTTAAATGCCTATATTGAACATTATATTAGATAAAAACATTACTTTACTCTAGAAAATAAAATAAAATAATTAATAAAATAAATATTTAGCCGTGTCCGTGTGTCCTACTGTTTGGAGATTTAACACATCCAACGCATGGATACATACCCGTGTCCGACACCCGTGCCTGAGTCCATGTAACATAGCATAAAAGTCAAAACAAGACAAATCTCAAAACTCAGATAAGTTGAAACAAAACATTTAGATGACGACACAATACACCTTCCATTCACAGAACATCTTCTACATGGTAAAGAATATGGCAGAAACTAAGGTGTGGCCAAACAACATATTCATCTACATCAAAGGCACTCAAGCTTGTGCACCTTGACACAAAAAAAGCCCAAAGATTTTATTATGTTAAATGAAACTATTAGGGTTTGTCTACAGCAATTTTGCAAGTGGAGTGCAACACCAGAACTGATCAGTCGTATGCTTTTCATTTTATATTACATATAAAATGAAAGGGGAGTCCACATGATCTTGATTTACTAATTGATCACATGCATACAAATGCAAGGAAGAGGCTCTCCCTTACAACGATATGTTTGCACAATGCCTTGTCAGTTTCTCGTCTTCCTCATTTCTACACTTTCTTTTATCTTCTCCTTTTTCAACTCTTCTTCTCTTGTTCTCATTTCAATTATTATCCTTTTTGTTTTGGTCCCTTGACTCTTTGATTGAATGAATGTTCTTTTATTTTTTTCTCCCTTCTATTTTTTATGGCTTCTTTGATCTAGATATTAAGATCACCTTTTTCATTTCTTATCCATCTATTTGGATCTAATTTTCCAATTCTCATAAGCTCTTTTACCTCTTTTTTCCCCCTTCTCCTTCTGGTACTCCTCTTCATTCTCTGTCTCTCTTAGTTTCTTTTCTTGTTGTCTTTTCCGTTTGCTTTGGTTCTCCTACTCTTTAACAAAAGTGAGGTTCTTTTTCTTTATCAATTTATCTTCTTATTGCTGCTTTGATTTCTATCTATTTTTCCAAGTCTAATTGATTTATTTTCCTATAATATATTCTAGGACTTCAGTTTTCTTTAACCAATATGGTTGATTCAAGTGTAAATCTAAAGCAAAGTCCAAGAAATAATGCAAATCATGCATATGATTCAATAAATTTGCTATTGTATAGGAATTCATTGACAAACTTGATACCTTCATTCCAATCCTTTCCAACTTGGGAACCAACACAAACCAACCCAATACCCCGAATTGGTTTAGAGAAGTTCTGGTTCCAATTTTAAGAACAAACATTGGTCCATTCAGTTCTAGATTGAACCCGAACCATGAGCACCCAGCTCGTAATTGAACTGACATCAGCATGGGATCACAGTTCAACTTAACTACTAAAATTGCTGAATTGACGACTACCAGCTCATTTTGGGGGTTGTTAAGTGGTTTTAATTCAGTATAATTTTGGTTAGAGAAGAGAGCTGGAAGATTCTTTTGTAGCCTTCATCAAGTAAGTGTAAAATCTTTAGGATTTTAATGACCGGTGCTTGAATATAGGCACAAAATTTGCCAAGATAAAGATAAGATGACCTCTGCAAAAAGAATCAGCTCCTTCGAGCTCATTCATATGGTCAACAGATTTTGAACTCATCAGAAAGGTTAAGGTCATAATGCTCCAACTCAATTCCACAAATACGACCAAGCAAGTCAAGCTCGCAATTCAAGCACTGAAGCAGCAATTGCACCACAGCCAAGAATAGCGGTTACAAAAAGCTTTAGCTAGATGGATTCAAGTAATGTTCCATATGGTCTACAATGACTGACTGCAACAATTATCCAACCTCCTACATGTTTGACAACAAATAACATGTTGTGCATCCTATAGGAAAGATCGGGCTATTGTTGGGGACTTTAATGGTATCAGGGATTCATGCTCCCAATGGATACAGCCAAACTAGCAAGGCATACTCCATATTGCTTCATACACGGTGAAGCAAAAATGTATCAATGGATTCACTACTATTATGTTTGGTTCATACTTCATAGGAATGTAACTTGGAAGAGAATGGGTTGGATACAATCATACAAGCTACCCATTGATAAGTGCTGAAAGATGCACATTTTAGCCCTTATCCTTGCATATGTTAGCACCTTAATCTATCTTTATTCATCTTTTTAGTTTTAATTTGTGTTATTGTCTATTTCAGGTTAATAAGGCTTAAATGGGCTAAATCCAATGCCTTGAAGCTTTTGGGATGATCAAACAGAGTCTCGGCAAAGAAGGGCAGCAAAAAGGACTGAAGTGCAGAAGTTACTATTCACTGTGACCGATCGCATCTTGCGTGTGATTGATCGCGTGTGATTGGTCGCATCTTAAGTGCGATCGATGGTAAGTCACGGCAGATTTTCTATAAAGTCATATCTAAAGCTCTCTTCGAAAAAAAAAAAAAAAAAGGCCGTTTGTGCGTTAAATGTATGATCCTTGGGCCGAGTTCTGACCATCCTAAGGCCAAAAATCCGAGTATCTATGGAGGATGAAGCATCATTTGATGGCGGATACAAATTGAAGAGGATTTGGGGCAAGGATTGGAGACTTTCTCTCTCTAGAATTCCTCTCTTCCACCATTGAAGATCTTTGGCTATGCTTGGAGATGGAGACTGAGGCTTCAGTGTTTATCTTCATCATCTCCGTGGCTAACAATTTCTTCTCTTAGGGTTTGGATAAAGCCCTAAGCCAAGTATTGTATTATTTATTTTCAATTTGGGGTTTAATTGTGTAGATTGTTTAACCTTGCAAATTTAAATTCGTTGTAACAAGATTAGTTGTATGTTTAATGTTTTAATTAATCTTCTTATGATCTTTACATTGTCTTATGCATTGACTGTGATTAATTAATCTCAACATCTTCACTATGTGGGTGATGGTTAAACAATGGTGCTTAATTGATGTATTTGCACTTGATTTGATAATTCATGCTTACATTTGATGGGTTGTGCTACAACACCAGTGTGGAAGTAGGTAGGTAGACAATTCATGCTTAGTTTTGATGAGTTATGCTTGTTGATACAATTTAAATATTCTCTTGACCATGATTGTGTGCTTGTAGCCACAATTCTTTTATTGCACAAGTATTTTCCCCAATTTGATTGCAATGGCACAAGTATTCTCCTCCTTCTCCTTCTTCTCCTTCTTTTTTTTTTTTTTGACAAGCAAGCTTGTATTAGAAACCATTCAAACTGGGAACGCAACCCGCAAAAGCCACACAAGGACAACCCGCAAAAGCCACACAAGGACATAATAGGTAAATTCTCAATATATCCAAAAAAAATCTAGTATCTCCCCCATTGGTTTACAATTTCTCTCAACAACCCAACAAAAAAGAGAACTAATAATAGAGAATTTTAGCACCCCAATCAGAGTCTCCTCGCCATCAAAGGATCTCCTATTCTATTCCCTCCACAAGCACCACCAAATACACTGCCACCTCCAATAGTCACGGGCTTGGGAACCCACTGAACCTTCTTCTAAGAAGGAAAAATAAAAATAAAATAAAATAAAATAGATAATGTGACTCAAACTTAGCTTTGATTGGAGAGCAAGGGTTTAGGGATTCCAAGAATAATTTAGTTTTTATTATTTTTATTTTGCAGGGGACAGTATTGTCAATCAACTCTCTTTTTCTTTTTTTCTTTTTTCGAGAATTAGGTAGTCTTTCATTCAGTTGAGCTGAGGAATGGATAACAATACTACAAATTAACCTAATCCTACAAGAATGGCCATTTCATTCACCGCCTAATCCTACAAATTAACCTAGCCTAACAAACTAGTCATGCAAGTAGTTGCAAAATAATTTGTGATAGAGAAGTGACAGATTAGAGTCCAGGGCATCGCAAAGCACAAGCACAATATGAATTGAATTTAGAGAAGCTAGGAATGTTAACCCTCCTTTTGAATTTAGTCCCAACTCAACAAAGTTCTTCCCCAACTATTTGAGGTCAGTTACATAAAATTTAGACTAGAAATTCTACTAAAACGCATAACTTGTGCACTTCGAAAGTTTGAATCATAAGTAAATGTTACTTTGCACATTGGAGCTCACGTCCAATACAACAAGGGTCTGTTAGTTCCTCTGTTACATGGACCCTTCAAAAGTAGTGAAGTACTCGTGTCGGACACGTATCCCTTGAACATGGATATGGGATATGTGTCTGACACTTTTGGTTAGGACATGTACTTAAAAAGCATATCCAATCATTCAATTACATTATATTATTACTTTAAAATGAGTTAAATGCCTATATCGAACATTATATTAGATAAAAACATTACTTTACTCTAGAAAATAAAATAAAAAAATTAATAAAATGAATATTTAGCCGTGTTCGTGTGTCCTTCTGTTTGGAGATTTGACACATCCGACGCATGAATACATACCCGTGTCCGACACCCGTAGGGCCGTACCCGAGTCCATATAACTTAGGTTAGTTCAGTGCAAATCATCTGAATTGATGAGCGGGTAAGGTAGGATAGGAAATCTCTAGCCCAATGGGAAGTAATGAAGCTAGTCTGACCCTCCAAGTGGGGTCCCCTTCACGTTGGGTGCCTTTATTTAGATTCTTTCTTTTCTTTGAATTCCCAACTATAAACAGCAAAAGCAGCGACAGGGAATGTGGTTCCCTCTAACTGAACAAGAGCAGTGGCCATGAACTCTCATACATCTTTTAAGAAAGATAATTCACAAATTTTATGTAGAATAAGGACATATTGTGGAAGAATCTGAAATGATGAATGCATGTTTATTTCAGCAGACATCCAAAAAGAGGAGGGGGGAACCCTTCAATCAGTCTCTTAAAAAACCAAGTGAAAGACCTACACAGTTGGGGGAACAGAATAATAGATTTATTCCTAGTTGGAAGACATACCAATTTGACCAAACAGAGAAGATCTCTGAGACTATTTTAGATAACGCTAGGAAGACAATGAATTTTAGAAACAATTGTTCACAACAAACGACCAAAATGTGGAAGTTAACACAAACAAGTTCAAATGTAAAATATCTAATCAATTAAACATGCATACACAACATTGATAGTACAGTGATCATGTGCGCATCCCACTTATCATACTTCTTGACAACATTGTGCACATCCCACTAATAAAAAACGTGATCATGTGTGTATGTTGCAAATGTTGCAGATAGTAATTCCAGGGTCAATTTCATGATTCTCTATATATGTACAAGCTTATGGGGATAGGCATAGCATACAACTAATGGGTATAAATAGAAAAAATGAATTGCAAGATGAGGAAATTACCAGCTTTCTTGGCCGCACGAAAAAGAAGTTCCTCTATCAGGTGTTGTGCGGGGTCTCCATCTGGAAACTTCTCCATGAAACTCTCAACATTAGAAACAACTTCCTGATTGCTCAAGTACTGATACAAGCCATCAGATGAGAGAACTAAAAACTGATCTCTTGGACAGAGTTCATGGTGACAAAGAGAAGGCAAACAAGATATGTATGGTGCAGTACCAATATACTCGTTCCGAAACATTTCCAACAGCGCATCATTCAACTTGGGCTGCATCCACATGCGTATTAAAATCATTTAGTCTTTTACTCTTGATAAAAGTAAAATTGACATTCTTTACAATTACTTCAGGAAATACTTTAGAACTGAATGAAGCTTTATCTCAATTGTTTGGGCTTGTCCACAGTTGACAAACTATTCAAAACAAATGCATATGGAAAGCTTTATAAAACAAAAGTCCGTTAGTCAGGTGGATCATGCTTGCATGTGCTGTAGTATATCTGATGCAGGTCACAATAAGTTCAAGAAAAAGAAGAGATAAATTTTGGAAACTGGTTGGATTTCAAGTCAACCCACTTGAGACCCTCGCATAATTTATTCTTGAGTCTCATTTCTATGCTTTCTTTTAGTTAAATAGCTTCTAATTTAGTTTTATTTCTGTTTTAAAAAGTTTTAAGAATAAAAAAGTACTTCCCTGATTTCCTGATTTGCTGGACATGGATGTAGAGAGGCAAAGCCTGAGCATGTAATTTTCATGTCAATTTGTGTTTATAATTATAAGGTCTATAATTGGTGCAAAGGCTTGGTAAGTAAAAGTCTTTTAAGTATATAAATTTCAAGTCTTAAAGTCTTTAAGGAAAGGTCCAGCTTTTGAAAATTATTTTATTTACATATAAATATTCTATTTATTTCAGAGAATTTCATAAGCTTTTGAATCTCTCTTGAAATTATATAATGCAATTCTAACCTTAATTGTGATGCCTACAGGATTCTTGGTGATGTCAAGATTACCGCATACATATATATATTCTATTAATTTCAGAGAATTTCATAAACTTTGAATCTCACTTGAAATTATGCAATGCAATTCACCTTAACTGTGATACCTACGGGATTCTTGGTGATGTCAAGATTCTTTTCTTTTCTTCTAATTTCTTTTTAATACACGTTTCTTCTCGCAGTTGAATCTCATTAAAACCTCTCCTTCCAATCATAAAAAATCTACTTTAATAAGCCCAGTTATTTCCTTCATCAAGTATTCCTAACAACAAAAATAATAATCCCAAATTGTGAAGGAACTATTCATGAATTTCTGTTCACAGCATAAGAAGTTAAGAACAACACTAAATAGCCCCTAAGCCTTATTTTCCTTTTCTCGGAATTCATACATCAAAGTCCTAATCAACCCGAGTCCTTAACTTTTGCCTCCAATCGTTCCTCAAGTGCACTTCCCTTTGAGTGATTTTAATGAAACTAGTAAAAATTGCACGTGCAATGCATGTGTGTATATATAATATACAAATTAATATGATTTTTTTTTTTTTTCCTAGTTGGTACTCACACACACGTCTCTTCTGAGACTTGAACCCCTGACCTCCCTTTGGGAAGTAAGAGGCTGATACCGCTAGGCCACTGGCCCGTTAATAATTAATATGATATTTTATTTATATCTTTATATTAGATGTAGTGTTACTTACTAATATAGTTAATCTCAATTGTGATCATGATAGTTTGTTGACTTTATGGACAAGAACCATTCACATGTTTATCCCAACCTAAGAAGCATGGACACGGATACGGGACATGGATACGACACGACACGGACACGGCGACACGGCAAATCCAAAAAAATTAGGACACGGACACGACGAATAGTATATATATATGATGTAGTACTTTTTTTGGTTTAGAATTTTTAATTCTCAATTCGGCTTCTTCAATTGTTTTTTGCATTTCTGCAATATTCTGAGATGTGACTTTTGGGCATATACGAATACCCATACCAGTGTTCTGCAACAAGTGGGCTTTAACTCTTGTATAAGACCCCCTGAATTCGTTATTACAAAAGTGACATTTGAATAAAAAATTTCCTCCACCACCAAATTTTTCTAACTGTGACATAGTTCCAAAGTGGTTTGTTCTCATCTTGTTCGAATTGAGGAGTACTACTAGCAACTGATGTAGACAATGACATCGACATGTCTAATTCCCTAGACATAAAAAGAAAAGAAAAAAAATCCATACTTACAGCAGTCAGCAAAGAAAGAACAGTCAGCAAAGAATGAATAAATTCCTATTTGATCACAGATTCACAATTCATATGCAACAGCTGAAATTAAATCAAAGATGAAATCCTATTCATTTACAGGTCAATAAGTTACAGACTCACACCGGCTGAAATTAAAGCAAGAATAAAGACAACAGAGAAGAAGAAGAAGAAAGAATTTAGGAAAGAAATTAAGGTCTGTGAAAAAGGAAAAACACCAGAGAAGAAGAAAGAAAGAAAGACGGGTTTGTGAAAAAAAAAAAAAAAAGAAGAAAGAAAGAAAGAAGAAGAAGAAATTTGGGGTCTGTGAAAAATGAAAAAAAAATAAAATAAAGAAGAAGAAAGAAACTGGGGTTAGTGAAAAAGGGTGGGGGGGAAGGGAGAGAGAGAAAAGAAAAAGAAAGAATCTGGGTTTTAAAAAAGGAAAATGAAAAAAAACAAGATGAAGAAGAAAGAAAGAATCTGGGTTTGTGAAAAAGGAAAACGAAAAAAAAAAAAGATGAAGAAGAAAGAAAGAAACTAGGGTTTGTGAAGAAAAAGAAAGAAAAGAGGAAGGAGGAGGAAGAAAAGAGGAGGAAGAGGAGAGAGAGAGAGAGACTAACCTGGAGGCTGGAGGGAGTCGCTTTGATCGGCAGCAGGAAGTTGCAGAGCTTCGTCACTTTGAGAGAGCAACCCGTCCTTTGAATCTCATCTTGTAATAGTGTAATGAGTAGCCTTAAATATCTATTTCTTTTGTTTAAAATTGCATAGTAACCTTGAAAGTTTAAAATTATTATGTTTTGACCACATAAGTAAAACTTATTAAATAACTTCATATATTTATACTTTAACCCAACTTTCTTTTAAAAATTATCTTTTAAACCACCAAAAATAAGACACGCGTGTCGGACACACCCCCTTGGCGTGTCGGACACATGTCCGCGGAGTGTCTGTGCCGTGTCCGAAAATAAAAAATTCCAGACACATTTTTTGGCGTGTCCGACATGTGTCGGGGAGTGTCCGACGCGTGTCCGTGTCCGACACGTGTCGGACACGGATTCTTTGCCTATTTTGGAGTGTCCGTGCTTCCTAGATCCCAACCCTAATTTAAACTAATTCTTAACAATACTGATATAAAAATAATATGATATATTATATATAACTCAATCTCATATTTAAAACTTTGTGCTCTTAAGTAGAGTTAAATTTCAAGTACAATTCTTATTTGGCAGGAAAGGAATCTAAGAATGCATCATGACTGCAGTAAATCAGCTATGGAGGTGGCTAAAGCTGTAGTGTTTTGTTAGAATATTTTGGGTCATTATGTAATTACATATAGTTGGTAGGATCATTGTGTAATTAGCTGAGACCTGTACTCTATATAAGCCACTGTAGTAGGCTTAGGGTTTGATATATATGAAATACACAGAATATACATTTCTCTTCTCTCTCTGTATCTCTCATGAATCTGAACATGGTATCAGAGCAATATATATTCATGGGTGTGGGAAACGACAAGAGTGTTGCCCTTGTATGGGATTGGACTCGCAATTGGAATCGCGAGTGTATTGTTGGTGTCTTTGCCGAAAGTTCTTGTCGCCGGTACGCTGTGTTGCCCTTGTATGAGATTGGACTCACGATTGGAATCGCGAGTGTGCTATTGGTGTCTTTGCCGAAAGTTCTTGTCACCGGTACGCTGAGAAGATCACTCGTAGTCGTCATCGTCCTTCATCGCGAACCCTCTTTGCTTGGTTGTTAAATCGCCGCTTGTGTTGGGTTGCCATCGTCATCGCTGCAAGGGCTAGGGTGTGTACTAGCCTTGATTCTTCATTGCGAACCTTGGGTGATTGGTGTTTATGGTCAGTGGCATAGATCTGGTTCTTGCCGGCGCTGATTGTGAAGGAGAAGAGTGGTGTTTGGCTGCAGGCGTGAAGTTATTCCAACCTTAGATTACTAAAACCGGAATAGCAGAGAACTCGTTTTGATTTGGCCCGTTTGTCCAGATCCAAACCCAGTTGCCCAGATCCGGCCCGCCTGCCCAGATCCGGATTCAGTTTTTTTTTTCCCCAGGTTCGGTTTTCTTCTCTGTTTGTCCTTCTCCATGGCTGCTGCTGGTTCCGACCTGTTTTCTTCTACTTCTTTCAATCCTCCCATGACTTCTGTCAAGCTCAATGGCAAGAACTATATTTTATGGGCCAAGTCCGTAGCTATTTTTCTGAAAACCAAAGGCTTTGGCTCTTATTTGGTTAACGACAGTTCATGGGACCAAAGGGATGCTCAGATCATTTCCTTAATGCTGAATTGTATTGAACAAGATATCAGCTCCCACCTGTTGTATTTGGATACTGCCAAGGAGATATGGAATCGCCTCCAACAGCTATATTCAGGTACTGGTAATATCACCAGAATTTATGGGGTGTGCAGACAATTCTTTGACCTCCGGCAAGGTACTCATAGTCTTGCAGAATACTTCTCCCAGTCAATGGGAATTTGTGAAGAAATGAACTTGTATCAGCCTATCACCTCTGATGTAAAGAGCATGCAACAACAACGTGAGGATTTTAATGCTGTTCGGTTTCTCACGGGGTTGTCACCTGAATATGAATCAGTTCGTGCACAGATTTTGGGTAGCCCTACACTTCCCTCTCTTCCTGATATGTTCTCCAGACTCCAGCATGCTACTCTATCTAGTGGCGCTTCTGGGAGTGCTTAAAGTGGTGTCACTGCTCCTCCTAGCAGTGAACGTACTGCATTAGTTGTGAACCAGGGTGGTTATCAGCCTTCTCGTGGCGGTGGCGGTCGGTTTACTCGTGGTCGTGGTCGTGGTCGTGGCAGAGGTAGAGGCAGAGACTCAAAACTCTGCACTCACTGTGGTCTTACTAATCACACTGTCAATTACTGTTGGGATCTTCATGGAAAACCACCACCTTCTTCCTATGCACATCAAGTAACCTCTAATGAAGGGGATTCTTCTTTCTCTGCCACACCAAATGCTTCACAAGTGGCTGCTCCACAAGTGGCTGTTGAACCTGCTATGGTCACCATGACAGTTTCCCGCGACGAGTATGCTCAGTTTATGTCTCAACAACGGCCTTCCACCTCATCTTCCACGGTTTCCTTTGCCCAATCAGGTAGTGCACCTGCATGTCTCTTATCCTCTCGTCAGAGTCCCTGGATTCTTGACTCTGGCGCATTCGATCACGTGACTGGTAGTTCTCATCTCTTATCTGATTTTCAGTCTATTTCTTCATCACAAAGTGTTACTCTTGCTAATGGCTCCTCCACTAAAGTTTTGGGTGTGGGAACCACCCAACTCAGGTCTTCTATATCCCTTTCCTCTGTATTATTTATTCCTCAATTCCCTTTTAATTTAATGTCCATTAGTCAAATTACTAAATCTCTTAATTGCTCCGTTACATTTTATCCCTTGTGTTGTATTTTTTAGGATCTCAAGACGATGAAGAAGATTGGTACTGGACATGAAGTAGGTGGCTTGTATTACTTTGATATTGGGCCAACTCCCACGGCTCTTCAATCATCTTTGTCTCCTTTCCAGTGGCACTGTCGTCTCGGCCACCCATCCTTATCAGTTTTGCAGCATCAAGTCCCCAGCCTTAGTCTTAGTCGTGTTGAGTCCATACCTTGTGATGCATGTCAGTTTAGTAAGCATTGTCGTGTATCTTTCAAACCGAGAGCTACCAATCATGTTGTTAGTCCTTTTCAGTTAATTCATTCCGATGTATGAGGCCCAATAAAACATATTTCTCTTAATGGATTTCGTTATTTTATGACTTTTGTGGATGATCATTCTCGTATGACTTGGTTGTTTTTAATGAAAAATCGTTCTGAGTTATTCTCTATTTTTCAAATATTTCGCAAAGAAATCAAAACTCAATTTGGATGTTCCATTAAAGTTTTACGTTCTAACAATGCCAAAGAATATTTCTCGGACCCGTTTGAGACTTATTTTCATGGTAAAGGCATCATTCATCAATCATCTTGTACTTATACTCCTCAACAAAATGGAGTAGCTGAACGTAAAAATCGTCATCTCCTCGAAGTATGTCGTGCCCTTTTATTCCATATGCATGTTCCCAAATGTTTTTGGAGTGATGCTGTTCTTACAGCCTGTCATTTTATTAATCGGATGCCTTCGTCAGTGTTAAAAGGGAAGTCTCCTCATTCTGTTCTATTTCCCGACTCCGCATCGTTTAATCTTACTCCTCGGGTCTTTGGATGTGTGTGTTATGTCCATAACCTGGTCTTGACAAACTTGACCCCCGTGCCACTAAGTGTGTTTTTCTTGGGTATGCTCGCACTCAGAAGGGTTATCGTTGCTACAGTCCTCATTTTCAGCGCTATTTCACTAGTGTTGATGTCTCCTTTTCTGAGTCTCTCCCATTTTTTTTCTGATTCTACTACCCCTCTCGATATTACTCTAGCGCTACATATGCCAACTATTTCCTCTCTGCTTCTTGCCTCCCCACCTCCTCGCTCTGTTATCCCCTTGCAGGTTTATACTCGACGACCTCGACCGTCTACTTCGCTCCCTCCATCTCCTTCAGAGTCTTCGGATCCGACGCCTTTACCTGATGATTTGCCCATTGCTCTCCGTAAAGGTATTCGGTCGTATGTTACTGCACATCCCATTTCTAACTTTGTCTCCTACCATAATATTTCCTCCTCTTTATCTTGTTTTTTTATCCAAAATGTCTGCTACGTTTGTTCCCAAGACTTTGCAGGATGCTCTTTCTAATTCGGATTGGCGTAACGCCATGGTAGATGAAATGGATGCCCTGCACCGTAATCGGACTTGGGATCTTATTCCCTTACCTCCGGGCTCCAAAACGGTTGGTTGTAAGTGGGTCGATACTGTTAAATACCTTCACGATGGGTCTATTGAGCGGTTGAAGGCTCGTCTGGTGGCAAAAGGGTACACTCAGACTTATGGTATTGACTACGATGAGACCTTTTCTCCTGTTGCTAAGATTTCTTCTATTCGGGTACTTATTTCCATTGCTGCCAATTGTCACTGGCCTTTGTTTCAATTAGATGTCAAGAATGCCTTCTTGCATGGTGACTTAGTTGAAGAAGTTTATATGGAGCAACCACCTGGGTTTGTTACTTAAGGGAAGTATCGTCACACTGTTTGTCGCCTTAAAAAGGCCCTGTATGGATTGAAACAATCTCCACAGGCTTGGTTTGGAAAATTCTCTGAGGCGGCATTCGAATTTGGTCTTAACAGATGCCAGACCGATCATTCGGTATTTCACCAGCGCACTAAAGCTGGCTTCATTTTTCTTGTGGTGTATGTAGATGATATTGTGATCACGGGTGATGATTCTGAAGGCATTGCTAAGTTAAAGTTGTTTCTGCAAAATCGATTCCATACTAAAGACTTGGGTAAACTTAGGTAATTCTTGGGTATTGAAGTTGCTAGATCCAAGAAGGGTATAAGTTTATCTCAACGCAAATATGTGTTGGACTTGTTAGAAGAAACAGGTATGTTAGGTGGTCGTCCAGTTGATGCTCATATGGATTCAAATACAAAACTTGTGTCTAATAAGGGTGATCTATTTAATGACCCGAGCAGATTTCGTCGCCTTGTTGGGAAATTAATTTATCTCACTATCACTCGACCTAATATTTCATATGCAGTTAGTGTTGTAAGTCAGTTCATGGGAGCTGCTAGAATGCCACATTGGGTTGCTGTTCTTCAGATTATCCGATATCTCAAGCAAGCTCCAGGTTTTGGGTTACTATACAAATCAAATGGTCATCTCAGGGTGGAAGGTTTTTCAGATGCTGACTGGGCTGGTTCTCCTTCAGACAAGCGATCTACTACAGGCTACTGCACATTTGTAGGAGGAAATCTTGTTACATGGAAAAGTAAAAAGCAAACGGTGGTAGCTCGATCTAGTGCTGAAGCTGAGTACAGGGCAATGGCCCATACAACTCGTGAGTTGACGTGGATACAACATTTTCTAAAATAACTTGGGTTGACAGTTGAAACTCCTACTCCATTGTTCTGTGCTAATCAAGCAGCTGTTCACATTGCATCAAATCCTGTGTTTCATGAGAGGATCAAACATATTGAAGTTGATTGTCACTTTATTCTAGGAAAAATATTAAGTGGGAGCATCTCTACTCCATTTGTGAAGTCTGAAAATCAGTTAGCTGATATGTTTACTAAAGCATTGGGTCATAATCGGTTAAGGACTATCTGTTCCAAGCTGGGATTATTTGATATATACTCTCCAGCTTGAGGGGGAGTGTTAGAATATTTTGGGTCATTATGTAATTACATATAGTTGGTAGGGTCATTGTGTAATTAGCTGAGACCAGTACTCTATATAAGCCACTGTAGTAGGCTTAGGGTTTGATATATATGAAATACACAGAATATACATCTCTCTCTCTCTCTCTCTCTATCTCTCATGAATCTGAACATATTTGAACTCATTGATCTTAATATTCTCTCTATTAATGATATTGGTAATCCGAAATAGGCTCTCTCAGCCTCTCTATTGTTTGTGCTTCCATGTGTACTGGAAGTGGTCTTTTTCAATATTGGCTTAGCTGTTTTGATGTACAGGGAGGGTATGCCCTCCCTTGATCCATTGTATGGATTGTTTATTTGTTCAACGGAATCCAACCTCAATTATGGAAAGAAAAAAAAAAAGTATAATTCTTATTAAATATTAACAATAATCTTCATCATCCTTGCCTTTATCCCGTACAAATGGGGTCGACTTCATGGATTCTCTTTTTCCACTCTTTTTTATCATAAGTCATATCTCCTACTAGATTTAATTTTTTAAATCATTTCTTATCACTTCATTCCATGTTAGTTTAGGTCGTCTTCTTTGTCTCTTACCATCTATGCAATATTAGTATAAAATGATACAAGTAGAATATTAATAATATTGATATAAAAAAGAAGAGAGTTTTTAAAAGATTACAATACTTGTTCAAGAGAGAATAAAAGAGTTCCACAATAAATATTTGTATGTATACTTGGATGGAGAAGCCATTCATATTTATAAGCTTGAATAGAGAGCTGTATCTTTTCTACATACGCACCTTTTTAAGAAGTTTGTATTTGAAATAGACACCTCTTTAGCTATTCTTATTTATAGTAATGATATAAAATATTTTAAAATTCCTGAATTTATATGTTTCTAACATTTCAAAATCAATGTCATGATCTGTTAAATACACTTTTCTCAACCTATTTAAAATGTTGAACACAAAAAATGAATTGGTTCATACTTAAATTTTCATAGCACTGATATCTAACCTTGATATATCTCTTTGTCTAAGCGTTAGTTCTTTAATATACAGCTACAGAATTAATTTTAAGTGTGCCTTCCTACACAAGTTACAGCTCAACAAAACGTATTATATTGCAAATACAAATGCAGGATGAACAAATGGAAATTCATGACGTGTGAAGTAACTTCAGATTCTTTTATCAGACAGCTTAATATTTTTTTCAAATTTTTTATCAGGCAGCCTTGAAATCACATGGAAGTCCTCACTACAAATAATCAAGTATAAAAATAATCAACAAACCTGTTTGAGGAATCCAGCGCCAAACGCACGGGTAACCTTAAGACGACCTTTCACTCTATCATTGACAATACAATGGCTGTCATCTGGGTGTTCGTTCTTGATTCTTATGACTTCCTGAAATTGTTTAATGAAGAAAGGGACTTTGAAAATTTGAGCAAATAAGTGTCCTCAATGTGAGGAAGAAAGCTAATAAAGCATGCCACCATCAAGGCATCAACACAAGAGAAACATGGATTTGGAAACAATAGGACAAAGCAGAACATCTAAATTTAAGACATTTAACTTTTTTTAAAAAAAAAATCAAGACATCTAATGTGTTCCACAATGAGCACACCAGGCGATGTTGAACAAAGCTTCAAGGGACAAAAATGATAGTGATGAAATGAAGTTGCCATCTAGAGTTCTTTGACTGTCCAAGAATCTAAAGTAAGTAACTATTTCACTAATTGAAAAAAATCCCAGCCGCCATTCTGAATCATAATTTTATAATACATTAGATCTATGAAGCCATAATTAGAAAAATAAATAAATAAATAAATCTATGTTGTTTATAAATTAGGAGATGATGAATAAAAAGCTTCATGGAGAATACATGTCAGTGATAAAATTAAGTTGCAGTCTGGAGAGCTTAACTGTCCAAAAATCTGCAGTAAACACATAATTATTTCACTAATTGAAAGCCCAGCCAAACATTCAGGATTATCTATGTTGTTGATAAATGCATTCCTCCGAGAAAGAGAAAGAAGAAAAACTGACGGAAAAGATTGGAGCACTCTACTAAATATGGCCTGTCTATACGGTAGAAACCAGTTCTTTTATTCAAAAGAGAAAAAAGGATCCACAAATGAGTGGGGAATCTCCTCACAAAAGAAAAATGACAACAAAACAAAATTATCTAGGCATATTAAATAGTAACAAATGTAATCCCTTCTGGTTAAGAGGTTGCCCCTAAATGAGCCATCCTCGGTCAAAGAACTAAAAAATAAACATATGTATTGGGATAAACAGATACCATGAGTGAGGTCTTTTGGAATCCACTCAACTCTAGGCCTGTCTTCCTAAAGGACATACTTGTTGAAATTTGGAACATGTGTGCTCGTGGCACAAGTAAGGATACACCAATCTATGTACCGATTTCTGTGCCAATAGTTGTAAAGTGTTCAATTGCAGGGTTTGATCAATCAAAGTCAAGTTCACTGAATCAAACCTAGTCCAATGAGCTTCGAGTGATCCTTACATCGATCGAACTCCCATATCCTACTTCAATTAGAATATTAGTTTCTAAAACAGCTTTATGCATTCTAAAACGCAAATTTTTATATCGAACTGCAAATTTCAAATCTAATGCATATGAACACTAATTTTAGCGAGTGCATAATTTGAGAGTTCACTTTTCCTTTGTGCCCTTGTTGAAACTTTGAGTATGTTGTTTTGCCCTTGGACAGGTAACTTCACTAACTACAAATAACCTCTATAAATTAATAGTGTTGGGACCACATAAATTTTATTATATAAGCAAGATATTAATTTATCGATAACTTAATAAGTTATTAATTTAACAAGATATTTTATGTACATTATCTATTTTGTTCAAAACATTTAGTTTCTCAATAGTCTTAAAGATTCAATGCATTGTACTCATTTAATCAATTAAGATTCAATATATTTCAAGAAAACATCATAGTCAGTCCTATATGTATTTCTTACCAAATTATTAATTTATGTAATAAGTGGGACCTATAGAAACCTATAAGGGAATTTCTGAAATTTATTATCTTATAAATTTAAAGAAATTATTAATTTAGTACCTTGGCCCAAGTTGGGACTGACGTAATTTATTATTTAAAAGAGATTATTAAATTATCGAGTACTAATTTATAGAGGTTATACTGCACCTTAACCAACTTTTGAACCCAGTATCAAAAGCTAAAATAAAATAACAAGTATGCATCATTATTTCTAGTTAAAAAATTTATTTAAAAAAAAAAATTAAAAGAGCTCAAGAAATCAGATGCATCATAATCGGAACTTTTTCAATAAATTGCACAAGAAATAAAGCATTAGCACTAACTAAGGGAATCATAAAACAAGTATGCATGTCATGGGTGAATGGACCACCACACGTGAAGATATAAAAACTGGCAAAAGTACTGTCACATATGCAGTGAACACAAAAGGAAAAATTTGAAGAAATAAAAAAGAAGACATGAAAAATATGTTGCAGCACACTAATAGTCCCATAATGAGATAAATATAAGGCCAAGGCCAAAACTGCAGCCAATGCTAACAAAATCTACTGAGAGTTGTGACCCAGAAGTACAACAAACAAAATTACGCCAAGGAGATAGGGCGGCTACTATTTTAATTAAATAACATATTTTTTTGGATCAAACTTACCTCGTGTTTATTTCTAGAGTAAAGGAATTAGAAGGACTAGACAATTTATTAAAATTGGAAAAAAAAAAAAATTTAATTAAAATGAAATAAAAATAAATAAATAAATAAAGGTTTTAAGAAAAATAAGAATCCAATGATCTATGGAAGTTGAGTATCAAATCAAGTAAAATATAAATAATCTGTCTCCAAGAAATTAATATAAATACAAAACATCCATCAAGGAGTCAAACATCAAAAAAAGCACCCTGCTAGAATGGAAGCTTGCAAGGAAGCTTCTCAAATCACACTTATTCTACTGTATTAGGAAAATGACAAAGAAATTGAGAACAAATTTAAAAGTAGTAGGTGACATGGGACCAAGGAAAAGGAGGCTTCCTTGTGTCTCCCTCACCTTTCAAAGCATCAAAAGCTCAAAGTTTATCACACAGGTGATATAATTCAAAGTTCAAACACAATTCACTTCAATGTTTACAAATTTCAACAATAGGATTCAAAAACGAAGAAAAAGATGCTTAACAAAGAAAAGGATGTTTCCTTATTTTTCCTTAACTGTTAGGAAGGTATCAGAATAACTCAGAAGATCTTACAAGAGAAATACTTCAAACACAAATTTCACTTCCATGGAACAAGCTTCAACAGTAGGATTCAAAAACAATAATAGGAAAGTTTGCTTTTGTTCGAAGTGGTCAATTATAAAGGCAATGACATGTTAGGATCCACAAAGCAACTTGTCCACAAAGAAAACAATATATGAACGAAAGAAAACGAAAATCTGCTATAACAATATCTCAGTGCACAGAAAATATGCCTGGGTGGGTAACAACAAGCACCTTGTCTAGTTATCAGGACCCTTTCCTCCACAGATCAATATATTAAGAAAATAGATTACGAGAACCTGAAAACCTACTATAAATAAGGAAGAGCAATTCCAAGAAGTCAAGATGCTGACAAAATGAAATAAGATTCTGCAAGACAACAAGGCTATGGGAAGATCAACGATAAAAAAATATAGCTATGAGCCTATGACTATATCCCCACGAGGATGTCCCTCTGCATGTCAAACTTATGATGCACTCACAAGTAAGAGATATGCCAAGAAGCATTCATTAAACAGACATGGCAAACAATAACATAAATTGGTAAAGGCTGTACGAATCATTGTTTCTTCAGTGGAAAAGGTAACTTCGAGAAATGTACAATATTAGTCCCTTAGCTTGCTCAAGAAGCAGTCGATATAGAACTGACATGTTGCCTAAATTCAGGGTTTCAAAAAATTTCTTATTTCCTTCTATAAGACCAGAAAAAATGAAAAAACATTAATCCCCAAGTGTAATAAGGAATCACCAAGTCATCCCACTCTTCACAGAGTTTTATGGAACGAAGAAACTAGGTGTGTGCGCTTTGTTGGGGATCTAATAATCATGCAATCTCTCTCATTATGTCCCCGTTGTACGTAATAGAACAAAAAATTTAGCCGCTAAGGAGTTGTAATATAAACCGTGGTGGTTGGTGGATCTTTGAAACTGGACTCGGGCTAAATGTAATACACATTTAAATCTGCAATAGCCACTTTCTAGGCCAATAGAGCAAGTTTCCGAAAATCATCTTAAACATAATAGTCCATTTCAAGCTTTAAAATGCCCAGCATTACGTTTTAAAGAAATAATATCTTCATATGAACATTTGGGGCAAATAAACATCAGGAATCAATTGATACCATGTCACTTTATTGAATGTACTGCACCTATCAAGAAGGAGTACTATATAAAACTAAAAATACCCAACAGATGAAGAAAGAAACAAAATAATGAGTTTAAAATCATTCAAATTTTGAAACTTACTTCTTCAATGCTTGTGCTATGATCAGTAGACAGCTGCAATGCAGTCAACCTCATAGCTTGAGCAGGAGCCTCATTTTCCACCTTATTCACCCTCTCGCCAGCATCTGTGGTCTCCTCAACTATATCCTCCGTGTTCAACCCATCATCCATTGGCTCTACCGATCCTGTGCTGCAACTAATTTCTTGGGACTTGTACTGTGCCACTATAGCCCGACTATCACCCACATTCATCACATATACATCCTCATCTCTCATCAACACAACCAATAAACAGGAACCCATTAAGGCAAGCTCCGGATTCCGATCAAGAACCCTATCGGTCATATCCAAATACGCAAGCTCGGTTACTTCAAGAGCTCGTGACATTGCCCTCAGAACCGATTCATGGTCAACCGGACCTACTTTACGCTTTCTACATGTTCTGCTCGTTCTCTCCTCCTCTACTCTATCCTGGACTTCAGATTTCTCTTTGGCCTCCAATCCAAATCTCCATGGAAACAACTTCCTAGTCTCCTTATGCTTAATCAATCCATGTTTTAACTTCGATAACAATAGTGACCGTCTGCTCACTGCAGAGCCCGCATTGTTCACGCTAAGCGCATCATCAACGGAAAATGCAAATCTATCTGAACCCGAAAGGTCAAGCCCATCTTCGGGCTCCTCTTCGGCAAGAAATTCCCATAACCGCCTCCGTCTTGTCGTCTCCGTCTGTTCGGATTGAAATGTTACTTTCTTCGCCGATGATCCTCGATCGGGCTGATGAGGGTTTAGTTCAATTCCACATACTTGAACTTCCTCACCACTACCCACAGCTTTACCATTGTCCTCTGCAATTACTGCATTTTCTGAAGTTACATTCACACCTTCTTGTGAACAAGCTTCCTCAGAATCCCAAAATAAACCCTCTAATTCATTATACACAGCTCTATATAGATTACCCATCAAGAATTCAGGCGCATCAGGTCCGTTAAACCCATCATAAATCCCAACAAAAAGCCACCCATGCTCTTCCGATACGACAACATGTACCCGATCCTCCCCTGCCTTCCCCAGAGCCCACTGAACATTACTCTCACTCTTCACCTCCGCCTCAAATCCACCATTCGAAACCTCCTTCCGGCCGACGAAGTTCCGCACCGGCACCACCCACGGCCGCTTCTTCTCCGAAAAATTCCGGCTAAACGCTTTCCGAATCCCCGATATCCCCTTCTTCCTCTTTTTCTTCACATAAACGCCGCCGAGCGGGGCCGAGAACGGCACTCGACCACCACCGTCCGAACCTCCGGTCCCATCGAGCGGCCCCGACAGCGCGCCTCGTTCGATCGGACCTGACATGAAGAACGCCCTGTCCATCGGACCCGACGGATCGCCGCCTCCGCCGCCGCGGGGCACCGGTTGAAGCGGCAGAGCACTAAACGACGACGTACTCTCAAAGCCATTCACGATACTCGGCTTCACACCACCACCAACACAGTCAGTGGCATCATCGTAAATGTTCTCGAGCTCGACGACGGTTCTGGGAGTAGAAGTGTTCGCACTCACCGAGGCACCAGAGATCGCCTTGAACCCGGTCTCAGACGGACCGGGCGGTCTGGGCTTGGAGGCCGGTTCGTGAGAGGGAGAGAACCGGAGGGAGTGAGAAGGAGAGAGAAATCGGTCGGAGTGAGTCGGAGAGAGAAAGCGAGCCGAGGACCGGACGTAGCAGAAGGAGTGACCTAGGGTTTCGTCCAAGGGCTCGGCGGCCGTGAAGATCACCTCCGGTTGGTCCCGGTTCACCGCCGGGTTGAGGCAAGGGAAGAGGTGCGATAAACCGCTTCCCATCACATTTGATTCGCACTCTGTTTGGGGAGCGAGAAAGTGAGAGAAAAAAAAATCACCAGTTGTTTTCCGGCTGTGTAGAGAGAGAAAGGGAAAGAGGGGAGACTGGTTTTGTTTTTATCATGTTCTGCGGGTTGATGAAGTGATAAAAAATAGAGAGAGAAAAATGTTAAACTTATTTTGTTTTAGAGAGAGAAAGTGAAATGTTAGAGAGAGAGAGAGAGAGTGTGTGTGTGTGTGTGTTATACTACTTAAAAGAGGGAAAGTGAGGAGGAGATAGAGAGAGAGTGTGTTGACTTTACTCTTTTTCTCTCACTAGGTTTCATCTGTTGCTGTGCTGTTGTTGGCTTTTGGTTGACGGTTACACCTGGCATTTTCGATACGCTGGAGTTTACAGGAGAGGAGTCCACGTCAGCTGCCAGATAAGCATTTCAGGACAATATTTTTCACTTTGACTATTTTGGGCCTATGTGTTTAGTGAATGACAAGTGAATACCAAATTGTATTGATAAAGTGGTAGGGTCAACTTGGGAAATCGAGGTGGGGTTTGAACCGTTGAAGGTACTTGTCCTAATGGAGTTGCTTTTGGCCCTTTTATTGTTTGGGTGCATGTATAAGGCCGAGTCCTGCAGAGTGTTTGAATTGGGGGAGGAGGAAAGAAGAGAAGAGAAAAGGAAACAACTACACAGAGTTTTGGAATTGTATTAGTGATACGGAGGAAAGGAGAGGAATAGGGGAGGACTTTTGTCTGCCAAATGAAATTTCAAACTTCTCTTTTTCCTTTTTTTCTTTTAGTTCTTTTATATTATTGAAAACCTTCTTAGAAAAAACAAAGTCAATAGGCCCTAATTTGAATAAATGTTTTCATTTTTTAGTGTCTTTAAAAGTTAAGAATCGGTCTTGGCGCAAAGCAAGGTTGTTATATGAAACTCTAGGAATAACTAATTAAACAAAACAAGTCAGTGGTTACTTGATTTACCCATTTTTTTTAAATAATTGAGCTTTTCTTTTTAAATCCCTTATTATTATTTTTTTCCCTAATTAAAATCCCTTTACTATATTTATCAAACACAACTAAGAGCATCTCCAACCATTTTGAGTGTGCATGTGTGTGTATATATATATATATATATTGTAAATATAATGTGTCAGGATAGATTTACATAAAAAAAAATATTAGATTATTTATTTTTAGCTTGCTTTATACCTTTCATGTCAAACCAGACTTGTATAACTTTTATAAACTTACTTAATATAGGGTTGATTCTTTAAATGAAATGAGAAACAGGAAGGAGAAAGGAAAAGGTTGTACGTTCATAAGATGCTGCGATCTCTATTTTAGGCTCTTATTTGGTAAAAACAAAACACGGAAATGTGTTTGATAAATTTTATTGCGATTTGAATAGTATCATATTTGTTTCTGAAAAAGAGGCCAAAATAGGAAAATATCAAATTGGTGATTTCCATTGTTTTCGTATGATGAACAATAACCCCCCGCCTCCCCCCCTAAAAAAAAAAAAAAAAACTACTAAATAATCTTTTTAACTAATCATTTATTTTTCAAACTTGTAACATATTTTTATCAAAGATATTTTTCCTTTATCAAATATGTTTTCATATTTTTTACTTCCAAAATTTTACATTATCAAACAAGTTTCTAACCACTATCGAAGGCAACAGAAATACAAAACATTTCCGACTCTATCTATAATTATGAAATACCAAATTGGTGATTTCGATTGTTTCCGCATGATGAAACAATCTAAATCACCAATTTTATATGAATAATATTGTATTTGTTTCCAAAAAAGATGTCAAAACAGGAAAATACTAAATTGGTGATTTAGATTGTTTTCACATGATGAACAATACAAAATATATATATATATATGTGTGCGCTAAATAATCTTTTTAACTAGTCATTTATTTTTCAAACTTGTAACACATTCTTACTAAATATATTTTTATTTTTTTACTTTCAAAATTTTAATATATTTCTGTTTAGATAAAAACAGAAATACAAAAACGTCTCCTATTATCAAATAGACTCTATCTATGTTTACCATTGGTTACGATTAGACTTATATTGTACATTATCATTTTTACCCAATAATTTAAGGTCTCGCCCTAGGGATGCTATATAAATTGCATTCAACTGTCGGTCCACTGACTTTCTTTGAGAAGAAAATCTATCTTATAGTCATCTACTTTGATCGATGTTGGATGTAATTAATTACAACTTTCCAAGTAGAAAGCATACTTTATATATTAGATGAGTCTTCATATATATATATATATATATATATATATATATTAGTTGGAATTCACATAATGTATAAGAATATTTTAGTAGATATGTTAAAAGTTTCTCACTCTTCACAAACAAGTTCACAATAAATAAATCCTATCATGTGATGCAAGTATGCAACCACAGGTTTATCATGTTCTTATTAAAAACTATAGAACCAAATCAAATACACCCAACTTTATTTATTATTATTTTTTTATCACAGTAGTTATTACAAAGATCCAAATTTGTCACTAATATAAAACATTTCAAATGTTGTTGACTTTTGACAATTCAATTAATTATTTTCTCATTTAGATTTTAAACTTTATTACTACCAAAACTTCATATAATACTTATATTAAAATAAGTTATAGGTTTATAATAAAATAAGTTGTAAAATTAGGTGGGATATCAGTGTGAACACACAAGGCTAACTAATATGTTATACCTGTTTTTCAAAAATAATAAAATAAAATTCGCATTGCTTTAGGTGAAATTTAATTATTCTTTTGTCACTAAAAGACAATGTTGTGGTTTACAGTATTTTTGTGCACCCTTGCTTATACCAAATCATTACTAGTATTTAATATCTCATTATTATTACTATTACTATAATATTATTGTGTATAGTACTTTGAAGTACTTGTGCACTATTACTGTTAAATCAACCGTGCAGCACAGAAATATATTTATAAATTCATATAAGATGGCAAATTTATGTAGAGGAATTTTTTCATAATTTTAGTGTGGACAATTTTAAAATTTTATGAGTATAAATGTATAAAAGAACAAATTTAAAAGTATAAAATGTAATAACAAAAAAAAATTCACACTAGGGCTCCGTTTGTTTCAACGTAAAATATTTTTTTCAAAAAATATTTTTATTTTTTAGGTAAAATATTTTTTTTAATTGTACTTTTCGGTATTTGACAAAAGTTTAGGTTGATATTGAGGTCGAGTCATTCGGGCATGACGTATAAAATTATTTACCAAAAATTAATGGATAAATTATTTTTTATAAAATTTTAATATATTTTTTCATCCTAAATATTTTATGGCAATCAAACACCAAAAAATAAAAAAATATTTTTTAAAAAACATTTTATATCTAAACAAACGGAGCTTACATCACAATGAAATGTGCTGCATAAAATATGCAACATCCATGCAATAAGGCAACAATACTGTAATACTCATGCAAGACAATTACATCGATTATGTAGCACTCGTATAACATATTACATCGTATAACAACGCTGTCATATTATTACATTGAAAATTCAACACTTTTATGTTATTTATTTAAAATTGTTGCATTAACAATTTTAAATTATTGCGTTATTGATCTAAATACATTGTCAAACACATGGTCTAAAATTGCACATGCGAGTATCCTAATCCAATTGTGTCTTTTGAGAAAGAGAGAATATAAAAGTTAAATTTGATTATCATTTCGTTAATAAAAAATAATATAATTGAATACTAGGATAAATTACAATGATATCTCACGAGGTTATGGCAAATTACAAAATTGTAGAACATTTAACGTTTATTAATTTGATTATTCCTAAAGTCGTTCATCGACGGTTAAAAAGTTAATTTAAGTGTAAAAAGTTAGTAACAACCTTATATTACTTTGCCATTTTATTACAATACATAAGGTTATTACCATCTTTTCATATAAGAAATTGGTAAAATTGTCATTTTATAAAATTTGATTAATAGGTTTGTCGAAAATAAAATATTAGAGATGTTGTTGAGCATAAACATCAAATCTCAGTAAATATCATAATGATAAACGTCAGACGGTGTATAATTCGTCCATAAATTTGATGTACCCTGAATAATACTTTTAAGAGGCTAAGAGTTCGGAAAGAACATGAGCTTGACATCAAGAGTAATTTTTATTTTTATTTTTATTTTTATGAAATTATGTGGCCTTACCTATCGACTAAAATTCTTTTAGTTAAGTTGATTTCTTACAATAATAATATTGAAAAAAAAAAAAAAATCGATCCACGTACATTTTTGTTGTTACATAATCAAATAATGCAGCATGAGTAGGATTGTAGAGTGTGGATATAGGTTTGACTTGGCAGAAGCCCCAAATTTGAGCAAGCACTCCCTCTCACGGATCCTGGTCGGGTACCTTTCACGCCACGCTGGACAGCTATTACGACTTTCATATAAAAAGAAATTAAAATAAATGGACGATCAGGATTCAATCATACATCTATCTATTACCAAGAGTTGTGATAGAGAGAGAGAGAGAAAAAGGTCTCACCCAGCCTGTATTATGCATCTGATTAGTCAAACGGCACGAATATTTCTGCTCTCTTCTATGTCGCAATCCCCGAATCTTTTTTAAATGAATATTCAGAAGTGATATATTACTATTATATAGAAATTAGTAGTAAATTACTATAAAGTTAAACCATCTAGTTCAGTTTAATTAAGTTCGCGCCCATTAGTTCTACATTTATTATTATTATTATTAAAATAGACTTATTACTTTGTTGTTTGGGCTATAAAATATTTTCAAGTAATAATTTTTTTTTTTTCGATATTAGGCAAATATCTCAAAAAACTCTATCAAAAATTTTTTTTTTTTTTTGGTTAAATGAAAATCAAAGCTTTTATTTGACTCAATGATTAGTATAATCCCCCAATCAATATCCATCATTTTTATTTGTTGATCGAGAGTATTTTTGTTTATGTAAGTGCGGACAATTTTCTTAAATAGTGAAAGTTGATTGAGTGAGTATACCAATGACATGACATACTCGACTTACCAAATATTTTCTCTTTTTCAAGATGAATATAGAGTTGTGAGGTTGACTCTTGGGTATCGAAATAAACCCAATATATTTTCTTCTTTTAAAGGTGAAGAGAGAGAGAGAGAGTGTGTGTGTGTGTGTGTTGTGAGTTGATTATTGG